CAAAACAATTTTTTGGCTGAAGGTGATTCGATTAATTAATTAGATTCTTCAGTTCGATTTGATTCTTTTGTCGATTCTTTAATTTTGTGTCAAAACGACATGCGATATGTCGCATTGATTGGTTCCATTTTTTTAGCTACTCGTCATTTTTCTCAAATTTTGAGATCGCAAATCTGTTGTCAGGAGACTAATAAATTCACTTACCAATTTTGACAAAGAAATTCAACATAATATAGGTGTGGTTTTCTTAGAGAGAAAATATCGCATTTGAGTGTAGTTTCAATATCAGTATCTAATGCAACATTTTTCCTCTAAAAAACCACACCTATATTACGCTGTATTCTTTGTCAAAATTGGCGAGTGAATTATTTAGTCTCCTGACAACAGAATCGCAATCTCAAAATTCGAGAAAAATGACGAGAAGCTGAAAAAATGGAACTAATTGATGCGATATCGTATGTCGTCCTGACACAGAATTTAGTGTCACCGAGTCACCATAAGTTGTTGTTTTCGAGTTAGGTTAAGTTCAGACTAATCATTCCATTTTTTTATTCTTTATTTGTTACAGGTCTGCCAAAGATGCACCTTAACAGTATGCGTGCTGAATGCCAACCGTTGCACCTTTACAATATGCGTGCTGAATGCCAACCATTGCAATTATATATCAGTGATTTATGGAACCAAAATAGTTAAAACCATGGTGTGCATCTATGAAGGAGATGTCACTGATTGTGTTTTCTAGAAGGCAATGTACCCTTTCATAGTGGAATAGAACCGGTTTTTTTTTTTTTAATTTTAAAATATCAATGAGGGTATAAAAATTAATAGAGATTTTAGCATAACTAACCAAGAAGTACCAAATCAGTTTTAGTTGGTCTGCATTTGAAAAATACATTAAATTTCTGATCAATTGCGTAAGGAATCAATAGTTGAAGAAAAAAGAAAATGTGAGAAAAATGGAGAAATATTGCATCCCATTTCACATAATTAATGAAAATCGTAAACGAAAATACTGGAAAGTATCAGATTCGACAAGATAATTGGACGTATCTATGCCAAAAGGAACTATGTGCATAGGAATTGCGTGTGATGTAGTTCTTTTTAGCGCAGATACGTCCAATTTGTCATAAACAGTCACATTTTCCCGCTAAAGTTTTCACAGACAAATTAGGTTAAGCTCCAACTAATCATTCCTTTTTTTATTCTTATTTTGTTTCAGGTCTGCAAGAAACGAAGAAAATGTTCCGCATTGAGGACGGAAGTAGTGCCCTGCCCTCTAGAATGTGTATTTGTTGTGTAAAATTTAATTATTATAAACTAGCAAAAGTAAAATTTAATAGTTGATGAATTATTCAATCCATTTTTAATTGATTACACTTCTAAAATCTATAAAAATACTAATACATATTTCAAACATATTGTGCAGCACTTAACTTAAATGCCATCAGTTGTATTAAAATATCTACATTAAATGTCATCAGTTTTTTTAAAATATTTACACTTCCTTCCAGTTCTGCATATAGTTCTCATGTATTACTATCAAGCGATATTGCATTCGACTGAAAGTAATTAGACTGCATTACGCAAAAAGAAATTGGCTTTCTGGTTCTTTGCAGAAATAACATGAGTACGATATAAGTTTTACACACTTACGTGAAAAGCTAGTTCCTTGTTGCATTATGCAGTTACATTACTACAAAAGAATGCGAACTTGTAATTAATGCTGCATGATGTTGTCCACAGAGAGTATGTAACTACAATTGGACCGCGTTAAACAGAAAGGAACCAAGCCACATCAGCTATTGCCAAATTTAATTGGCCGAATTATTTTTTTACATGAAAACGGTTGGGCGGATTTTCTTGTAACTTTCAGTGAATTTTCTTCAAAGTACAACGCAAATTCTTTAAAATTTTCAAAGGAATCGCACAAACGTTCTCTCATAAAAAATTGACTTGCCCAGTTAAATTTGGCAACAGCTGATGTGGCTTGGTTCCTTTCTGTTAAACGCGGTCCAATTAAAATTAAAATTTGGGAGAGTAAATTTCATTAATTATGACATGTTGCCTTGACAATGATGCTGACAAGAGATTACTGGACATATTCATGCTGAAAGGAACATGTTTCATGCGAATCACATGTACACAGTTCCTTCTAGGATAAATACGTCTCTCATGGAAGATGATGGAACGGTACTTTTAACTAAACTGAGGGCCTAATAATCAGAAGTCCAGTAGCCAGTCTTTTCCCCTGATGCAAATCATACTAATAATTCTTGATGTTTTTGTTTGTTTCAGAAGATGCGGCTGAAGAAACGGGCTCGGGGGGGAGGGAGGTGGCTCGCTCAGGGAGGAGGTTCCAGGGGAAAGGGGGGTTCGTGGGGTTGGGAAGGATCGCGGAGTAAGGTTTCCCAGGGGGAGGCTCCCGGGGAAAGGGGGGTTCCCTTGGAGGTTTTCCCTTGGGGGGTTTTCCCGGGGAGAGGGGGGTCCGTGGGATTCATGTAGGATCGCGGAGTAGGGTTCCCAAGGGGGGAGGGGCCGCGGAATAGGATCACGGGGGGAGGAGTAGGGTTTTTTTTTTTTTTTTTTTTTTTTTTTTTTTTTTTTTTTTTTTTTTTTTTTTTT